TGTTTTATATAAAAAGTAAACACATTTTTTAAAAACAAATCCTGATTTAAACATTGGATATTTCTCTTTGTGTAGGGTTTAATCGATTGGCAAATTATTCAGTTGTGTGTTTATTAACACAAAGTGACTCTCAGTGTTTTTGGAAACATGGTTGCACTTTCTGAAACTAAGAGTTTTCATCTCTGGGCTACAAAAGCAAGTATGAGAATGAAACATGGAGAAGCACGATATCAAGCACAAATGCTTGTGTACCTACCAGTTCAAGAAACGTATTCTCCAGTGTCTTATACTCAGGAGAGCTCTTGTTGAACAGGTCATCAGAAAACATCATGTTAGTGACCCTCAAGCTAAAGAAAACCACTAACTCTTTGCTCTTATCCACTGCTGTCATCAGAGGTGTGCTGGCTTGTCTAATGATTGGGGCAGCAGTGGACTCATATGGGCGTTCTTCAGACTCTGAGGCGACTCCACTACCACTTTCCACTTCATGGGGCTTGGACACCAACTCTGTACCATTCTGACTCTGTCCTCCTTTCTTTTGACTGTTTGAACTTTCAGCAATAAGGTCCACTGAGACTGGGGCTACTCCACTGTGCCCTCCACTTGACTCATTGGCATCCTCAGGGGCTTTGCTGCTATCCACAGGGGATGGCGAAGACTTCACATCTGTTTCTGGTTCAATGCCTTGGACTTTGCCCTCAAGTGATGATGGTGTGGAAACTGGTGCTGCTGTTTCTGTGATAGACATCTCCGAAATTGCGATAGGGTAAGTAGGCAGTGACAGGTCAGTCAAAACCTCAGCATGAGTCACAACTTCCTTAGGCTGGATGTTTGGAGTTGTTACAGAAAGGTCCTCATCCTTTTGATCTGGATGCTCATTTCCCCCATCAGCTTGTCTGGGTTCTTGAACGTAAAACACAGCAGGAAAAGGAAGAAGATATTTTGCATTTAAATGTACTTGTACACTTATTGTTATGACCATAAATGCAATACAGGCAGAGCCAGGATGATACAAGGAGTGATCAGCATGAGCAATCATAGAACTTGAGTTACATTAGTAACTATAATTTTCTAGGAGAGCTTTTATGTGGAACCATTCATCTACAGCAGTTATTCCCATGTGGATAACACTTTAGCAACAGTGCTTATATTTTTTTTTTATTTTGAGCATCTGAAGTTTACCCCAAAAAGCATATTATGTATAATTTTTGTGGTGTACTTCCACATAAATTTGTTGCACGGAAGACAAAAATAACTAGCTGTGTAGCTGCACCACTTGCAGGCGACTTATGAATCATAGGATGCTGTTTGAGCCAGATCTTGTTATCTCCCTGCTTTGATCATTTGACTGTATGTCTGAGGCCATGCCAGTCACATTTATTTAATACCCTGATCTGCTGCTGTTGCTGTTAGCCAAGTCACTTCAGTCATTTTAATATTCACTCCATGTTCCATTTCATTAAACCGTAGTTACTTACAGCTCTCTCTTTTCTTTTATTGTTGTTTCTTCGTATAATTATTATATTTATTTCATCTTTTAGAACAAGAGTAAAGAAACAGTTATCCTTGCTTAGCCTAACTGTAAGTAGAGAGACTATAATGCCGAAATCTCACCAAATTTCTCCACTCATGTGAAAAAGAAAGTTTGCACATCACTCTTACACTCTTACATCTTTCATAGGAATTAGGCTGGAAGTAGCAGCCAGGTGCTAATAATCAAATGCACTTTGTTAGTTGTTCATCAGCAACTTTCACAACCTCTGTAGACCAGATGTTTGCTGATCTGGTGCATTCAGGTGTGTGACATTAACAATGATCTTAGAGAAGCAAAAGTTGCTGCCCATTAATATGGGAAGGGTCGTAAGGTAATCTTCAAACAATTTGAAAGTCACTATTCTAAAGCGAAAAAGATTATTCCCGAGTAGAAAATATTCAAAAGAGCTGCTGGCAAATTAATCCCAAAATCAGAGCATGCAATGCTCAGTGAAATTGCAAAACAACCCTAAAAACTGTCTTTCAGACTCCACAGGCCTCAATTAGCATGTTAAATGTTAAAATACATGAAAGCGCAATTAGAAAAAGACTGAACAGATACGGATCCTTAGGAAGGGTTATGAAGAGCTTTGGAAAGATGCATCTGAACAAATCACATTATTGTGAAATAATATCAACTATGATTTTATTTACCAAAATAATCTGGAATCAAATCTGAGGCCATCTGTCTGACATCCAAAGTTTGGCTGAAACTGTGTCATGCAACAGGAAAATGTTCTGAAGCACAGCAGCAAACCTACAACACAATGTCTCCAATGAAAAGAATACAAATTTTACAGTGGCTCAAGGTCCACAACTTAACCTGACTGCATTGCTGTGGCAGAGTTTTAAACATCAGTGAACTTAAGTGGCATTGTAAGTTTTCCTACTCATTCCTCTAAATAAAAATACAGCACATGTGTCATGCATCATTTTATATAGACATTTCTCTCAATGCCCGAGGACATGATATATTGAGTCTCTTTGGAAACTCGTCTGGAATTTAAAAATCAAGTTGTTGCTGGTTTAAGTTGGCCTGCACAGCATGAGAATGTAATGACTTGACCACTGGCAGGTTGTTACTTAGTAATGGGTTCTAATATAATGTATCCTCTCAGCATGAAAAACCTCCATGTGCACAACTGAACCACCACATCTAATTGTACTGACATTCCTATTTCCTCTGAAGTATGAATGTTCTGTACAAACAACTGGGAACAACTTTGTCATATATTACTATCTGTATTCTTGTTTAACAGCCTTTTTCTGTTAATTTTGAAAATTTACTGTAAGCTCCTTTTCCCTACTTTTCTTGCCTGGGTGTCTTTTGTTTTTCGATCCTCACTAATGTTGTTTGTATCTGAGCTGCCCAGCCCTTAACAGCAGGTCATCCTTCAACAGCTTTACCACCATTAAGAGAAACAAGATATAGAAAGCCATTAATGAAGGCCACGTTGTTGAGTTGTTCTGAGGTTCTTCCTGTTATTTGTCAATACCTCTTAATGGAATCCCCACTACGCAGACTGGTGGGTTAATCAATAGAGCTTTCACTTCTTGAAACATCCCGCTTTATAAACATTTAACCTGAGGAAGCCTTACCTTTTGTCACCTCCTCCTCTGATTCACCCTCACCTCCTTCTTCATGCTCAGCTGATGGTATTTCCTCCACCTCTGTCTCTGCTTCCTCCACCTGCTCTGTGAGAGTCTCCACTTTTGCTCCTTGTGTAACGGCCTCCTCTGCAGCATCGTTTGTGGACTCCTCTTCTACAGCTGCCGATAAAGGATTCTCCACTGTGAAGGCAGAAGTGACTTCTGGGAGGATGTTGGGGATGAAAGGCACAAACGTGTGTGTTTCTGGTTTGACAGTAGAAGCTTCTAATGCGGTTTCAATCACTCCCAAGGTGGGGAAGAAACTTTGGGTGAGAGCGTTGTCCTCTGTTGGTGCCTCTGTGGTGTCATCCTCGGATATTACAGTCTCAACAGGATTCAAGTTGAGCTCAGCAACTGGATAAACTGTGGTTACTGTGAAGGAAGTGTTCAAATACTTCAATGTGGAACACAAACTTAATATCTAATTCAGGTAAACGTGTGATATTTTGCTTACCAGCCTCAAAGCTTAGTGTCTGTATGTCCAGTGGTAGTGATGTCTCCTGCTTTAATGCTTTTACAATGATGTGCTTTAGTTTAGGAGCATTTATGTCTTCCCCTGTGCTTGTGACATAACCCTCAGGTTCCTCATTCAGCTCTGTTTCTCCATTAAAGACCACAGCATACCGTACAGACACATCCTCCAGTCTGAGCAACAAGACAAATCATGTCAGAAAGCCTCACAACACACAGACTCCAGTGGTAATAGTTGTCTGTGAAGGTTCTCAGTCATCCAGGTCATCGTAGTCAAAGGAGCTTGCAAAGAAAAGCGTCTGGACTTCTTTAAGTTGCTTGAAGACGTTTCACAGAGAAGCTTCTTCAGTTCTGAAACTGAACTGAAGAAGCTTCTCGGATGAGAGGTGAAACGTCTTCAAGCAACTTAAAGAAGTCCAGACGCTTTTCTTTGCAAGCTCCTTTGACAGTGGTAATAGTTGTTCACTCAGGCAGAAATTTCAGAGTCATAAGCCAAAAGATAAGATGAAACAGAGAAGGAATAGCTTCTCTCGAGACATAAGCAATGAAATGTTTCAATAAATTCTATTTTAAGGGAAAACTAAAGAAGGATGTGTTTTTACCGTAATCAATGTTTCCATTTCTATGTTCTTTTTTTTTTCTTTTCTTTTTTTACAATAAACCTAATTAATTCTCTTTTAACTCACCGAAATCCCAGAACACGTATCTCTTTGAATCCTGGAACCTTTTCAAACACATGAAGCATCTGCAGAAAAAATGAAAAGAGCATTAAAATAATTAAAACAAATGTGAAAGAAATCCTAGAATTTTCTGTTGTTACTGTTAAAAAAAAATTAGACGTTATGGAGTGCATAACTATTGCAATCATGAGGCATATATGGAAGTTTTGTAATGCCCACAGTGAACTTAAGTCAGCATTAATGCAATTTTCTCAATTCACCAGATTTAACATTATTCCAAGATCTTAGGCCCTGAAAGCTACATGAACTAGGTAAACAGCTCCCTGACACTACACTTACTTGAAAATCTGTCCACACTCTTTGCAGCCCCATGCAGAAAAATGCATATTTAGAATGATGCAAAACACATCTGCAGCATTTTTATTTAATGGAATGGGACTTTCATACACTCATGCAGCTTCAAACTGTTGCTACAGGATCACCTCATGACTCAATAGCTGCAATAACCACCTTTAGCAGTAATGACTTGAAGTAATCATTCTCTTAATGACTTTATCAGTCTCTCATATTGTTATGGAGGAATTTTGACTCACTCTTCTTTACAGTGTTGCTTCAGTTCATTGGTGTTTGTGGGCATTCGTAGATCCTCAGCTCTCTTAAATTGTATTGAGATCTGGACTTCGATGAGGCCATTACAACACCTTGATTCTTTTCTTTTTCAGTCATTCTGTTGATGTTTTGCTGCTGTGCTTAGAATCACTCTCCTGTTGCATGACCCAATTTTAGCCAAGCTTTAGCTTTTGGAGAGATAACCTCACATTTAACATTAGAATATGTTTGTTTCTCATCGAACGTGATGCTGCAGATTGTGATAAATATATCTCCACATATCTCATGGAGATGAAGCTTTTGGTGTTTTTTTGCTTTGTTTTTTGCAATTTCCATGAGCAAAAAAATATTGTACAGTGTTAACACACACCTGAATGTTTCAGATGTGCAATCTGTTAGCTGCTACTTACACTCGTAATTCGTGTAGAAGCCGTAAGAGTGTCTTTCGTTTTTCACAGACCTGCCCAAATAAAACGTTATTTTTTCGCTGACTGTTACACCTATTTCTTTAACGAAATTCTGCGTTAGTGGCTGTTTGAACTGTGGCCTTATTAGTCAGAGATAATTAGAACTTACTATTCCAGGCTCACGCTCTTAAGTCCTGCAGTTACCCTTAAAGCTGTTAAATCAATCAGGGTGTGTGTTAGACCTAACACTGCAATGTAATACAAGCTGGCAATCACGAATGCCTTGTTACATAACACCGCCATTTAGAAGGGCTTTTGTTTTTAATGACAGAATAAGACGATCACAGGAGTAAGATACAGAGTGGGACTTGATGCTTAAACTCACCCTTTGTTTGAGGTCTCGGGCGATGTCATTGTACTGTGCAGTCTCGGGGTTACTGAGCAGTTCGCTGTATGTCGGATCCACGATGGTGATCCTGAACTCAACAATATACTCTTCATAGTTTTCTTTCATCATGCTGGGGTTTATGTCTTTAACCTAGCAAACCAAAATCCACATGGCATTTTTTTACTACTAATTAAAAAACTGAAACTTGACAATGAGTTAATGTTCTAACTGTTATAGTTGACCTACCACATCAGCCTCAGTTGGAAGGAGAATCACAGGCGGAGTCCAGGTGCCTGATGCAATAAAGCAACATATAAGTTAAATCATGATATCTTTATGAATGTTTTATGACGCCCAAAACGACACAACTACTCGCCAACCAGTCAGGAAATGCATATTTTTCCCTAGCGACTGTTGGTTGCCAACGGATTGCCAACCAATCTCTCGGCGTGTGGTTGTGGCTTAAGTCAAGTCTGTTTTGCTTCAACTTTAATGGTGTTTATCTGTCAAACTCACATTCACTTCCTGGCTCTGCAGTCCCAGATTCAATTCTGAAAATGGAAGAAAAATACTGTTTAAAAAGCTTCAGGGATCTTCACCTTCACCATTTTTTAAAAAAAAAAAATCTGCAACATTCTTCTGTTTGTAATTGAGTGTAAAAATATTTGCTGTTGCAAAAACAACATATATTAAAAAAACTGTCAGTCTTTTGGCAATTACTAGGCACTTTACACAGTTACAGAAAAGAAAAGAAAAGCCTTTCCTTTCTGGAGTGTAGCTGATTCTTAAAAAAATGAGTCCACGCACAGAAAACACTTTCACATTTCATTGGGAAGTTTACCTACCCTTCATTTTCCTCAGTTACTCTCTGGAAATTAAAAACAAACACACACATGAAATGATATCAGCTATTACATTACTATTACAACAAGCAAGCACAGAGTACAAATGTACTGTTATGGAAAGTGGACTTCCACACTCACTCTGGCGACCATGTCCAGGTGCTCCTGAGAGCTGCTGAAATTGTGAGCCAAGTCGTCCATGCAGAGGTTTTCATGCTGGCAGGTGTAAACCCAGGCCCTGTACTCTTCTGAGTTTGGCACTCTGTCCAAGAAGATCCGAAAAGCTTCCCAAATTGCTTCCTGACAAACTGAAGATAATTTCAACAATTTTTTAAAGTACTACCAAAAAAGACACCATCTAATCTGATTTAAATCAAAATGACAGAAAAAATAAATAGACAGGAGGTGAATTCCTGCTAGAAAACAATTACAATATTCAGGCTAAAGAGGCTTGTTGATATTAGTCCTGCCATCGGTTAGTATACAGAGCTAGTCATGATTTACAGGTTACAGTTGGCTTATTATGACCTTTGGGAAGGAATTTCAATGGAGCTTTACATATGAGCACACATACAACAGTACCTTATAGATGTATTCAATCACAAAACAGATTTAATGTGAAATAATAGAGACCGCAACAAACAGTGTTATAGCTGTTGTTTCATAAATGTCAAAGTGTATATTCAAAAGTCATTCTGTGTCTGTGACATTTCTGCGAATCTTAAAATTATAAACAGAAAGCTGTCCCGAAGCGACATTATTTTTTATCTGCATCTGCGGCTGAAACAAGCACCATATTGTTCAATAACTTGATGCCTATGGGAAATTTGTTCTCTTATAAAATCATTTCTGTAATGATTTGAGCATCTCCCATACAACAAATTAATCTGCCTCATTTTAAAATCATACGCCACTGCAGCTGTTTTGGGACACTTAAATAACCAATTGCAACGACAAAGGTGGCAATTTTAGCTTATTAAATCACTGATAACCCATCTTTCTTAGACAAGGGATTTTTGCAGTGTAGCTAGACTCTAAAGATTTTTTTTTTAATATCAAAATCATACCATGGATAAGGGAGTATTCAGTGAGATTCGTTAAGATTTAGAGACATAGCACCATTAAATCTATTGTGGCAATGTGGTCTGCGACCAAAGCAATGACGGAACTTAGAACAAACTCTTTTGCAAATAAAAAAAACAATTTGATGTGATTGAAGTGCAGACTTTCAGCTTTAAAATAAAGGGAGAGGCTTCAAGGTAAATTGGCCTGATACGGCCTGTCTTCTTGTTGTTCTATAACAAATAGACACTGAAAAATCATTAGTTTATTTCAAGCATTGAACTTGTATTTGTTAGATGTTCACTGGAACTCTAAATATGAGGTCCAAAGAGTGTTGATGCAAGTGAAGGGGCCCTCATTACAACGAGAAAACAAAATAAACTCTTCAGAGAGATTGCAAAAACTTTACCAGTGGTTCAATCAACAATCTGCTACATTGTTGTTTTTCTTTTTTTGTCCTCCCCCTGTCTCACCATCTCTTCTCCCATCTATTTTTCTTTCTCTCTTTCTTTCATTCTTTCTCCCTGTCCTATCCCCCAGTCATGTCTGTCCCATCTGTAACAACCAAAAATCAAATCAAATAAATACATAATTATAATAAAGGTCAATCAAATGGACCAATATGGCAAGGCAAAGTCAATCTGCTTGGCATCTTTCTTGGCCTTCAGACATCAATTCTGATGGCTAAAAAAATCTGCTACATTCTTAAAAAGACTGAATTCGCTGGCCTGCTCTGGACACAGAAGATAGCTAAAGTAGATGATCCCCAAAGTCTTCTCTTGGTTAAGAAAAACAATTTCACAACATCTAACTAAGTCAAGAAACTCTCAACAAGACTATCAAAATCAACAGTCAAGAGACTCCTTCATGAATACAGAGGATTTAACTCAAGAACAGGAAAGCCAGATTAGCCTTTCATAGTCCTGGAAAAAAAACTTTAGACAGACTAAATATAAATATACTTCATCGACTATCTGTCAGAGATGGTGGCACAGGCATCTACAGCTTCCAGTGGAACCAGGTCACTAACATTTATTGATGATGTGAAGTTGTAGAAGTATCAGGTGAATGTGTGGGACTATGTTTAAAAATTGAGGTAATTTGCTTTTGTTAAAACATGTCAGTCACATATCGATTGCTCTAAAATCCACTGGTTTAAAATCCTTTGGACCTAGCTGACTAAACCTTGTCTTTACAAAATGTTTTGATTGGATAAAACATCCAATTTGGTAGCTGTTCATTCAACTGCTAGGACATCTCTGTTTGCCCCTTATTCTAATAGACTAAATATTTCAGGACAGGCTTGTTATACTAATACACTCTGCTGTGATTAGGCACAAAGTAAATGTTTAAAGACTCCATGTACAGTGCAAGCTTACACTACAGTCTAACACTGCTCATTTCATCTCACCTCTGAGTTTGTAATAGGCCCGGTGGCTGCCGATGACTGCTTTCACACTCTCCTGGGGACACACTTTGACACCCGTAGTGAAGATCGTTGACCTCTTTCCCCGATGTCCACCCTGCTCTGCTCTGACATTGGTTGCATGTGGGATTGGCCTGGAAGCTTCCAGAAAGTGTCGGTACTTTACATCCCTGAGTCCAGAAAAACTGTGGTCGTGAAGGTCTGCAAGAGTCACAAAGAAGAAGTTATTAAGTCAGGCAGAATGTTTTTACTCACAACATGAATAATCAAACACTTCATGATAAGTGGATGTAATTCTGTTGACTGTCAGGTTGGTGTGAGATTTCTCCCGCAGCAGTACAAGTGTTTGTGTGGATGGCTGGGATAATTAACAACTGATGGGTGACAAAACAAAGGTAAAATTGCACTCCATGTACTAAATGCTCCAAACTGAGTCACATATTGTGCATAAATTAGGCTGAATGGTTTGCATTAAACAGCAACGTGTTTCTTTGTTATTAGCATTTTTAATAGGTTCATTATTTCTTGCTGATGGGAATCCAACTAATCTGGCATAAGCGTATATTTGTTTTTTGAATTAGCCATCAATTTCCTGTTTAATATCACAATGAATTACAGGCCTTGCTAAACAGGTTTATCAGTCTTCACTAGTGTTACAGGATAAAATTTAAATATTTTCTGCTTCTAAAAAGTGAAGTCAAAGCACAAATGCCTGACTGCCAAAGACTTCTGGTTCCATAGAAGTCGTGACCTCAGTGCTCAGGTCATATTGAATTGAACATTAGGCTCATCTTGTAAATTATGATCATTTATCAATTATCAGTTTTATTCAATTATCATCATCATGTGATAAAGAGTCAGATAAGTGGATTATTCAGGATATGTTTAGTGACTCACAGCTTGTCCATCACATGTCAGTAGCCAATGAGTATGCAGCTTCACAGTCGCAGCTGCAATGGCAAAAACGCTGAGGCTTGATGATGGGACTTCACAAACCAATTGATGATATCCTGGTGGCTCTATTTTTTATACTGTCTATGTTGATAATGCTCCAGCTTAAATCATCTCACCCAAATATCGTCTCATCCAGGTTTAAAAAATTAAAAATAAGACAGCCAAAATATATGAAAAATTCCACATTTTAAAAGGTGGCTCACAAAAAAATCCAGATTTAAGGAAACGCAATCCCGAAATGCTCTCATGCCCTTTCAAATAACCCTTATTAATCTTGTCATATCAGAAAATGGGCAGCCAGCACTCACTATTACCAGAGAGAATTTAATTTGACAGGTATTTTATCCAGCAAGGTGCCATCTGGTATGTTAACTGCTGCTTGCTTTACCGCTGCTTTTAAAGAGCATTTGTAGTGAAAAGGAAATCACACATAGAGTACATGTATTTTAGGACTGTCTAATCCAAAGACAGCCTCTGTGTGTGATTTAATTATTTTTTAAAGGCGCAAAGACTGATTCAAGCTTGTAAGTTTACTTCAATATGAAGACATCCAGAGACTAAATCTTAGAGGTGCTTGTTTGTGACTGGAAAAAATGCAGAGACATATGGAGAAAGTCTTTCTAAGTTGAATTGACCTTGTGCAGCTTAACCCACGTTACGTCACTGAGACTGGTGAGTGGCCAAAAGAGTAAGCGATGAGATCGTGCTGGGCCACGTCCAAGTATGAATGAGCAGAAATGCGTGCGTGTGGATTACTGTCGAATAAGGGTGTGCATGTATAGCAAACCTTAAAAAGATTAAATTTAGCTACAGTGGTTAGAAAAGAACAATTCTGCAAATGAAGGCATTGAAGAAATGACACAGATTCCCCTGTTTCCATGAATTATACCGCTGAGATGCTGCACAGAGGATGAGAGCTGCTCTAATTTTCTGATCAGTTTAATTAAATAATCTTTACGAGCTTCAGTGACACTGGTGAATTACAGGAAGGTAATTGTGCGCCATTACAAAAGCTAGTGTGCCAGTCAGTCTCTCCAACACAGTTACCCCATTAAATAAAGCTATTTTAGAAGAAAGCAATCATTGTCGTGCCAGGTGGCAAACCTTTGAGGACTTCTTAAGAGAATAAGCTGGGATTTATGAGCCCCAAAACAGAGTCTGGAGGTCATTGAACCCAAACAGAAAACTGTGCCTTTTCAGGATTAGGATAGAGAATGAAGAATACGGACAAATAGAAATAGGGATTGTGTAATTACTGTTGCAATTGTATTCGACTCAGAGCTTTTAGCTGAAGCTGGTATATTTCTGGGGAGATACAGAGAGTGGGCTATCTCAGTACTTAAATTTTGCATATCTATAAAAGCAAACGGAGCTGTTTTGCATGTTGCACCAGTGCATTGTGAATCACAAACATTGTCATACGTGACAGTTTCAAGAAGTGAGTTTAAACATTTGCCATGAGTGGACAGTGTACTTGAATTACTGTTATTGTGCAATATTTTAAAAGATTTTTATTGCAAAGCTGTTACATTGATAGAATATGTGTTGCAATCAAGCAGCTGGCAATGCTTGTGTACACTCTATCTTTGTCCACCATATTAATTTATGTTAACTTCATTTAATTAATACCTTGGACTGTACATAAAAGATGGATGCAGTGTCACTATCTGCATCTTAGTTCTGCCACCTTATAAAAATACGTTTCTACTGTCTCATCAATTCCTCACTTATCATGTCTTCTTTGAAATAACTCAGACAGTGACAGACCAATGCTTCAGTTGAAGGTGGAAATCCAGGTGACATCACTGTGGCTGTGTCCATCTTTAATAACATAGTCCCAGACTGAGTCCTAGTTTCAGTCTCATAACCTTTTTGGAAGTCATACAGTTGGTTGGTGGCGATTGTTTCCATAGGGTCTCCTATTTAGGTTTTGCACACATGTGACCGCTAATCGGGTGGCATTAACTTGACCACCGTTTGGGACACGTGACAATCACTGTAGGGTCGAGTGAATAAGGTGCACCACACACAGGCCTAGGGACCAGTCCACAACCATCAGTCATGAGGGGAAAATGATTAATCACTGACTGGTCGCTGGACGGTCACTGTTCCAGTCACACAGATGTAGAGACCAATCGGTGACTGCCTGGCAACAATCTGTCACTAGGGAAAAATTTCCAAAACCAGCTGATATAAACCTCCTTGTGACTGGTCACTAGCTTATTGCTGCGGTCGCAGTTTGAGTGTAAGCGACAGACATTGCAAACACTGTCTGGGTGGTCTTTGGGCTGCAGTAAGAAGAGCAACACAAACCAGAAAAGGTGATGCTTTGGTTTCTTGTATATTGCCACAAATGACTGTATCTTCGTCTGCAAATTCTTGCTAACAACTAGCCTTCAAAGTAAAAGTTGTGGCTTAGTGCTATAGCCAACATGTTTCAAAGGGTGCCATTTTTACTTTGAAGGCTAGTTGTTACAGAGCATGAAGGAGCAACTACACATAACCGTACCAGTCTTCTAGCCACTAAAGCAACCACTATGAGTGTTTTGATGCTGCACCTTCTTTGGAACCCATTTCTCCCGGTGAGTGTCAGAAACCTCCAAGAACACATTTCCCCAGTAAGAAGTGGTTGTATCGCGTGCAATATGCTAAACAGCGCTTGAGCACTGTGCACATGACATCACATGAGAAACTTCATTATGCTTTTGATGTTATTTCTATGTAAAAACTTGGAAGTTATAAAGAAGCCTTATTTAGACAGATGTTCATTACTTTGCATTTGTCAATATGTTGCATGTGTAACTCCACTACATAAATAAAACCCTTGGAAATGAGCAGTACTCTTTAATCCAAATGTAGCATAAGACCAAGAAAATGCAATGAATGCTTAGCATTGTAACCTGTAGCTTTATGAGGAACGTAGCCTCCAGTTTAGAGACTGTCAGGCAGACTGATTGACTAAAATAGTTTCCAAACATTTCAGCAAGTTAAGCTGCCAAATCATTTTTTTTCCTAAGATTCATAGCATAACATTTGAATTGGTTTTGCTTGAAGCCTCATTTGCACATGCACAGACACGAGGGCCTAGGCAAAAGGAGGGAGTGTTGGCACGGGCCTTAATGCCCAGTGCATCCGCAAAAAGGCCCCACAGCAGAATTACAAGCCAGAAAAGATTAGCGTCCTGCGACACTGGGAACAGAATGGCTTTTGTTTCCTTCAGGATAATGAGCTCACCCGGGCACATCACACTGAACAAGACAACCAGTGCCGATGAAAATGTTATCCCTGTTGAAATTTCGCTATCTTTCTCAGTGAACACCTATTAGATGTCACGACCAGTTTAATTCACACTGAATATTCATGGCCTTAAGAGTGGTTCGCTATCTGCTTGACATTTGCTTGACATCTAAAAATCAAAGATCTTGGGTGAACTGGCATTTTGTAGCCTGCCGGGAGATTAATTTAGGTAACAGAGTCTCATGCACATAAAACAGAAATACCCTGTTGCTCCTCTAAATTTCACCACTAAATTTGCTAAAAAAACAAACAAACAAACAAACTTGCAGGTAGATCTTTGCATTAAAAGATCATTTGTCACTGGCCAAACTTAAAGGAATGCAAACAGTCACTTTTATTTTCTAAATTTTAGTAAGCTATCAATCAGATGCATCTTAAAGAAAGTTTCTTCATTCTACAAGATGATTCTTACCTTTGATTTGACTTGCTTGGAGGGTAAACAGACACAAAGTTAAGAATAGTCCCGACTTCAAAAGCATGATGGGCTAAAGTGTAAAGTTATCATTTGTAAAGTGACTGTGGCAAAAAGCAATAAAATCCAGAATCTCCTTATCTCAAGTCCTTTAGCAGAATGTATAAAAGTCTCCTCATCGGTGCGTAGGTGTTCTTGGCAGGCACCAAAACTCAGCTTCTGCAATCGTTAGTTCCTGGATGCTGTGGAATCCCAGTACACTGCAGAGGTGATTGCATGAATGGACGAGCAGTGGGAGCAAGGGAGGAAGGAGAGGCAAAGGAAGAGAATCTGGGAATAGATGATATTTTGGCTCAGGAGTTTCCTTCCATGCTCTCAGTGTAACAACAATGACAAGGTTAAAAAAGCAGGCTCTGCTTTGATCGTAATCTCTTTACCTTCTTCTTGCTGCTTGTAATCCTCGAGGGGGCCACGTGGCTCCCTGGCCTCATCCTGTTAGTCACCTTCTGGACCCTCGTCTGTCAGCTGAACAAAAGTGGGGATCTGCCAACCAGCCGAGACCAGATAACTACTGCCCGCAATTGCTAGGGCTTGATCACTCACGACCAGCCTCTTTGTGTTTTTGTCTGCCTCTATGTGCAACTGTAAAGCTGCCCAACTCTTCTTCGTCCTATAGATGTCAATAGAGGTCAGCAGTTTGTTTCTGTCCTACACACCAAGCTACCAGACAAACAATGTGCTTTGATGTTGTTCTCGCTGCACAGGCATGTTGAGCCTCTAAGACTCTTTCCTCTAGGTCCTGAAGAAGAACATTACTAACCTCTCTTCCCATTACCAGTTCGGTAATTTACTTGAGAGCATTTTCCTATGGTGTGTTTTTGTTCTTTGGTTGTTATCTGTGACTAGTTCTTCTTGCGTCCAATCCCATGATGCTGTGACACTAACAGCTATGAAATAAGCAGCATCCTTGACATGTGATGACTGCACTGAAGTGAGTAGGCTTTCCTCGTTTGGTGTGCCAGGGTGGACAGGCTCTGTGTTGTTAGTCTCCACCCCCACCCACATATTTTAGTGAATAGGATTAACTGCTGTTGTTGGCTGTTAGAATTTTTTTCTTTCCTTCTTTCTTTTGCAATATATAAGCCTGTTCATTATATTCATAATCCATCCAGGCACTTTTTGTACATACTAATCTGAACAATGACTTTTTCTGAACCTTTCAAAACAAAAGTAATCATTTATTTTTGCTTGTTCTAGGCAAAAATAGAACGTAGACCCTAGCCATAGCTTTGTGTCTAAAAACAATTTTACATCCATCAGACGTGATAGAGATGTTTCCAAAAACCTGTCGAACAAGAATCCAGTTTGTAGCCTGACCCCTTCCCCATCATTTTTTCCCAGCTACTGTCACTACACATGGCTATCTGTGAAATGATTGCGGTCAAACCAACCACCAACAACAGCTTGGTGAGAGAGCAGTCACGGGCTTTGAAGAGCTACTAACAGGCAGGGCATCAATGTGCATGCAATAGAAGGTAGAAGATCAAATGTCTTGATCTTCTTTTTCTGTAAGACTCTATTTCAAAAAGGTAAATAAAAGAGAAATTGTGTTGTTAAATCTGACTGTTCCAGGATGTCTCTCCAGTTTGTGACGCTGACCTGAATCTTTCATGATAACACAAAAGGTAAAGTCAGAGATTCAAGGTTCAAGGTGACGATTGAGAAGAATTGTTTTTAACATCTGAGATGAGATTAGAATAAACTGAAAATAAAGCAAAACGCTGTCAAACTGAAGCATTGTTTATGCATAAAAACAGCTAATCTTGGAGCTGAGACTTGCACATTAATAATGTATTTCAGCTCTGTTTTCATGAGTTACTTTGATATTGTTCCCAAGATAAACAAAGCTTTGTTGATCTCAACTAAGATTTGATTCAGACAGGCTTGACCTTCTCCCACTGGCTGATGACTTGAATCATTGTCCAATTAGAGAGGTCAGTTTAAATTATGCAGCAGAGGGAAAGTGCTACTTGCCATCTGTCAGAAGGGGTTATTTCATTAGGGACAGAGCCTGGGTATTGCTGACTGCCACAGTCTGGCACAGCAGAAAAGACACCTGCCGTTAAATTCATCATTTGTCCAGAGGGAGACTGAAAGAAGATTTCAGGCTGAGAATTTGACTCCATCCTTGGTCACTATTTGTTAATGGGTACTAGACAACTGCACTGATGTGGGAGGAGAGATACCCAGACTGCCTAGCAGCCGGAGTACCGAGCTTGAAAGTGTGCTTAGGCTATGGGTGCACACTGAAAAACTCACAGGGTTGGAGACACAAAATGATTAGTCTATACTTTAAAACACTGGCTAAGATATAGAGTTTGTTCTCTGTCGAGAGACAAAATGCCAGAAAATCTGCAATGGAGGGGCTATTTGCATGTGTTTGTAGCTGTTCCATGATTATTGTAAATGGCAGAAGTGCTCCTTACACCTTAAATCAACTATGTGTCTTAGACTCTGTGCACATGCTTTGCTACACTGGCACTTCATTGACACTACTTTTGCTTTTGCTGTTGTTATCCTCCACACACTGATTGGATAAACAGCCAAAGAGGTGTTTCACAAATAAATCTTGATGATAAATTAGCCATTACAACATAAAATTAGACATAGATACTGCTGATTTGCTGGGATTTTCTTGCACAATCATCTCCAGGGTTTACTAGGGTTTATCCTTTTTCTAGGCCTGAGTGCCTTCTTGATCTCAGAGGTGAAGACAATCGACAAACTGTTTCAAGATCATAAGAAGACAAGAGCAACTCAAATTATCCAAAAATGAATGCAGAAGAGTATCTCTAAATGGATAACACATCACACTTTGAAGCAGATGGGCTACAGCTGTCAGGGTGCTGGGTCAGTGACCTAGCATTTTAAGTTTATTTTGTATTTCTGATTTCTTTTGATGTATTGGGGACATTTTTAGTTCTAGTGTTTACTGTTGGTATATTTTAGTTAGGTTTCAGTCTAATTAATGTTATCATCCATGCTTCCTTGTTTATGTGTCTTTTTCTGTTTCCTGTGTAAGTCTGTCTCTGTGTATGACTTTTAGTTATGCCCGTGCCTCGTCCCCCTTACCTGTCCCCGTGTTCTCCTCCTTGTGTTCCATTTCAGCTCCCCAATCTGTCATGTGTTTCATGTCCTATTGTCAAGCACGTGTTGTCACAGTCTACGTCTCAGTATGCTTCCTGTTTTATTTTGACAGTCTTGTGTTCCGTGTTTAGTGTGTTTAGTTTTGCTTCCCCTGTGGTGTCGTGTCAGCTGTGTTTTCACTTCCATTATTAGCCATTGTCGAGCTTTCTGTTTACCTCACGTCTTCATGGATTTTCAGGTTTCATGTTTTAGTTTTTCCCAGTTTTCGTTTTGTTAGTTCTTGTTCACTTTATATTATCATTTACTTAAATATGTTTCATTGGCTATAATAAAGGCTAATTTTTGTTAGATTCAGTCAACCCAGTTGGAATTTAACATAATCAACATGAAACCAGGGATCTGTTCTGCTTGTAACAATAGTTCAGACTGGTGATGGTAGTGATTTCTTGAACATAATAGCAAATTACTGAAGTCAGATGACCTCCATTGTGAACAGATCCCAATAACTTTCCCAAGATTTACATCATGGATAGCTGACAAATCTGTTGCAACTCCATGATGCTCCATGATATCAGTATTACATAAAATCTTGGATGGCAGGGGAAGGCTATGAAAGTAAAAACACTTTACTGTTTTTAAATCTCTAAACTAAATAAAAAGTACCTTCGGCTGCTCTCCTGACACAAGATGTTAACCTCAACAGTATGGAGCTACAAATATCTAACCTATTCTGTACTGTAATTATTAGTGTCCTTTTTCATTTTTGAAAATGAAAATTTCCCCCTCAGTAAAGTACAATTCCCTAATGCAGTACTTTTATACATTTAGGTCTTGCATTCACTGCCAGTAATGACCCTAAACAGACATAAAACGAAAACATCTAAGAGATTTTTATCCGATTTAACTGTTTGCAGTTATGACTCTCTGCACAGGAGTAACCAAAAGATTTCAACACATCATCTAAAAACCTGTGTGATCTGCTTCAACTGAGGTTCCAGCTTTTAACCTTCCCTTGGAGAGCAGAGAAGATGAGTGCCTCGGGGCTGGAAGTCTAATATTAGAGTCATGTTTGTCGTAACACTCCTCTTTGAGAAAATCCACTCTGGGCTGATTATCAGTGTGATCCACTCTAGTAGACCGGCAGCGGTGAACGTGCCATCGTAGCTAGTGCCATCATCAGCTCTGTGAATCGCTACTGGAGTTCATAAGCGAGGACGTTCTTTAATAATCTTTTATGAAGATAGGTTTGTAAGTGTAGCAAACTGAACTTGTGAATTTCTTTTGAGGCTCTTAACACATGTAGACACATATTAAGAGCTGTGAATGGTAAAGGTCAGGTTGTGTTCATGGATAACCACCACAGTATTCAGTAGCAGCACAGGTTGTTACATATTTGAGACACTTTTTACTATATTGTATTTTACAGTAGAATTATGGGAATTAAAGTAATGTTTGTCTACAAAGTTGTACTCTGCTCTCTAAGGTCAAGATTAAGCAGAGGAAACTTTGTAGACAAAGGAACAGTTTTCTTCCCTTCCTGTTATTGTGCACCATTGTGGCCAAAATTGCTAAACCGCCAACAGAGGGCGTTATGCTAAGCAATCCAGTCAGGATTCAAAACCTGAACTATTTAAAGCCAATGAAAAGAAAAAGTGTTCAGGCTCTGCGGATGCAAAAATAATTCATTCAGAAATAAACCTCTTATTGTCCAAGCTACTTTTGACCCACTCTATAAGCACTTAAAGTAGGAAATATTTTAGAAAACAATGTGGAAAAATCACAGACATATACTCCCAAAGAAAGAAAGAAAGAAAGAGAGAGAGAAAGAGGGATTATTTGAAGATTGGACAAACATGCTGAAAGAGCATACTAAAATGATTAGGGACCTGCAGCAATGCATTTAAGCATTTCTTTCTACAGTATACAGACAGTGTGCAAGATTACTGTATGTATACCCCTTTGCATGCATGCACGCATGCAATATATGCAATTGCAAGATAACAGAATATGAGGTGAGAGGTTGTAAACATGTGGCTGGGACTTGGAAAGTCCCTTAACCCTGTAAAGCCTGACTTATTAATGAAATAATTGCTAAAAAATTAACATTTCTAGCAACCTTCTGACCTCCTGACAAAATACAGATAAAATTAGAGATTAATTTGCATATAGGATTTTTAATTTGTATAATATTTAC